CCTGGCACAATAATTAACCTCTCCAAAGAGTCCCGTAAACAAGTAGGACCCTGTCCCAATTGACAATGAATTTACTCTTCTTTTCCAAAGTTTAAGTAAAAATTTCCAAATAAGATGAACTTTGCATTTTTCGGTGTTTCTCATATTCAACAGAATGTGAAATTTGAGATTTTTAAATAGTGCCCGTATTGAAAATGTATCAAATAGTTTGAATATGAACACTTTTATATAAAAATATCTTTATAAAAGACCAAAAAGCACTTTTTAATAGTGTGTAGAGTTTCCTTAAGTCTCGAAAGTGGCAAGCATGCAATCAGTTAATTAACAGGTTTTATTATTGTCAACATTTAAACAAAATCGAAGTATTACTATGTGAAGATCTCAAATAAAAACTACCACATCATGTTTGAAACGAATTCTTACAAAAATGAGTATGGATACACATGCACAGGTTATGAATGAGCAAAATCGGTGTTCTTTAAGATGTGTAATTCGTAAGACGTAAAACTTGAAAGCATCATCAGATATCGATCCATAAGGATGATCCGATCGTCTTATAAGCGCCACTTAAAAATATTGAATTATGAAATAAAAACGTACCTCAATATCTTCTCTGTAAGACTGCAATATCACCGTTTTCCTCTCTTTTTCACTAACTATATTTTACGTGCTTTCTCCTTCTTCGATAATGCGCTGTTTGAATCTTCGAGCTGATAAGTGCGCCCAATAAAGCGCATGCGCGAGTTCAAAATCTCAGCCTCACACAGCTACTGATAACACCTGTGATCAATTAACATTGGCGGATCCAACGGGGCAGTAATTATCCACAGCAGTTGTTTGAATATTCAGTCGTATCATGCGAAAATATTTGCTATTTTATTTTATATACTCTTCTATCCTTTTCACTTTGCTGGTAGAGCAATAAAGCCGGCTTTTTTTTCAATCATTATAATCCGTTCGTTCCACTTACCATTCACTTTCAAATATAAATAAAGAACTTGTAATTAATCAAAATTACATGGTAATAAAACAATATACTGGGTAAAACGCTCTGTACACATAATCTGATCGTTGTCTCTCTTCTACAATTTCTTTGAGCACTAGGGGAAATATATAAATAAAATACAAATATTTGTCGCTGTATAAAACATTTAATTCCGTAAACTCGGGCGATACATGTAAGAAATTTCTTAATCTAAATTTATTTTATGCCGAAAACACCGAACCACATGTTAAGACGGAGCTTCAATTAATCATGAAGATGTTACAAATCAAATGGTCATTGTTTGCCGAGTGTAATACGTATAGTGTATAAATGCAATCGCTCCCAATATTTTATTTTATACTAAGTTGTGCGCGATTAATTAAAAAACTGTACCTACACTTTAAAGGGAGAAAGAATGCAGAAAATTAAATAAATATTTAAGTTGAATAGATCGCACATTTGAACATTAAAATAAAACAACACTGGATATATGCAATAGATTTTGTTAAAGGTGTAAATATCCCTCTGGAAATTAAGAGTTTCCGATCCGGGAACTACTATTTAGTGGTGGAGAATTAGAAAAATAAAAAATAAATAAATAAAAAAATGAATGAATAAATAAATTAGAAAATAAATTTAATTAAAAAACTAGCAAATAAAAAAATATTTAGAGACCTTCTGGCATTTGATAAAGCCGTTAGTATATTAAATTAGGTTGTGTTAATATCGACACTTCAATGAAAATACTTTCTGAGCTAGAAATTCCAGGTATATAAATTAATGTAGCATATTCTTTTAATTGTGGTCCAGTTTTGGAAACGCGTCAACACTTCCGTATATTTTAAAGTGAATGTATCCAGGTCCGTAAAACGCGCAATTTAAGCAGTTTTTTCCCGGGTATATTATTTTGCTATGGTAAATTTTCCCTACAGTATGCCCCAATTTCCCCAATTTAAATAAAGACGATTATTTTGGAATCTGAACTTTTCACCATTTGATCATTTTTGGGACCCTTCCCCGTTTGAAACCTTAATACTGGCCTATTATCAATGTATAACACAATTACATCACACCCTCCTCAAAAAGAGGGGGGGGGGGGCTCAGTAATCCACCCCTTTTAAAAATAATATTCTTTACTTTTGTAAGAACAATATAAATATAACTGTAAGCATATTTCTAAGTGCATTTTATATGAAAAATAAATGCTAGTAAGAAATGCTGACTTACTTGAATTAATGATAATTCTACTACAATTATAATTTTTTTACATCAATAAGATTTTATACTGTTAAAAATCCATACACATAGTCACATTGTTTCAACAATGAATTTTTTCTCAATCTTTTTTAAAAATGAAAATTATGTTGTACCTTCAATGTTGTTTCAATGTCAAAACAATTTTACTTGTATATGCAATTTTGAAAATAATATTTTGCTTACACACTATGTTGTTTCAACGTTGAATATCGACGAACATTAAACATTCAAAATATTCTGATGTATGTTCAACGTTGACAATCGAAAAATTTCAAAATTGAATTTTTTTTTTAGCTTTTACTGACGTTGTATCAACGTTGAAATATCGACAAACATTCAAGGTTGAAAAAAGTTGTAATTTCAACATTGTTTCCATGTTTGACAAATAAAGAACTATTAACGTTGAAAAATATTGCAGCTTCAACGTTGTTTCAACGTTGTAATATTGAAAAACCTTCAATGTTCATAAAATTCTGCATCTTAAAAAATGGTTTCAACGTTGAAATTTTGACGAACCTTCAACGTTGAAAAAACGTTGCATCTTCAACGTTGTTTCAACGTTGAAATATTGACAAACTTTCAACGTTGAAGATACGTTGCAGCTTCAACGTTGTTTCAACGTTGAAATATTGACGAACTTTCAACGTTGAGGATACGTTGCATCTTCAACGTTGATTCAACGTTGAAATATCGACGAACCTTCAACGTTGAAAAAGGTTGCAGCATCAACGTTGTTTCAACGTTGAAATATAGTTGCTCAACGTTGCAACCTATATTCCACCTCCTTTCAACGTTGAAACAACGTTGCGTGCCTGCTGGGATGTAACATTCGTCCATATTTTTTTGAACCCCAACAAAAGTTATGTCGCACGTCATTCATGGGGGTTCAAAAGGGGTATCTATGAAATCGGGTTGAAAAAAGTACATGTATCTGTAGTGGATTTTGAATCATTCCTCTTTATTTTCCAGTGTTTATAGTATATTTATAACAAATATAAAAAAATGTTATAGTAATCAACTACATGTAACCACATATGGAAAATTTTCCCTAATCATTAAATTTATTAGGCCTACATGATGTTATTTTTCTGTTACAGAAGATTCAGTTTGAAAAAAAGAGAAGAAGCAGAAATAAAAAAGAAGTACTACAACGTCAAGCAACGCAGTAATTTAATTTGTAAATTTTCTTACACTTAGCCCCCCCCCCCCCCCCCCACTTTCAATTTGCTTCCGACGCCAATGACATATAAATGTATCATATAAATTTCTGCATGTAATCAACAGGTTCGAATAGTCTAAGCGTTTTTCAAAAAAGGGGGAGGGGTGTTGGAGTAAAAAAAAATTAAACCTTATTTAAAAAAAGGGGGGGGGGGTTGTTTCATGCAAGTATTTAAATTATTACGTTACACAGTCTAAATATCGAAAAACTATAGGTACAGTTAAATTAAAACAATATTGACCATCCCATTTTATACAGGCAAGAACAAACTTGATCAAATAAAGAGACCAAAAACTGGGGGAGGCAAACCCATAGCTTTGACCACAGCAGAGGATCTTTTACTTCAGTCCATGGAGGGAAGACCTCAGATAGAGGGAATCGTATCCGGGATTGATACAGTTGGCAAGAATTCAATATTATTCAATTTTAATTTTATTAATAATGATTTTAACAAATTAAATTAGAAGATTATATACTATATAATAATGATACATTTTACTCAATTTGTAAACGTAAGGTATTTATTTTTAAAAATAGAAATATCAGGATTGGCGATGATCCTACATGTAGTGACAATGCAATTCAAGAGGAAAACCAGTGTAAATAATTTTATTAAGTATTTTCATTCGAAGTAAAAAATTCTCTATATTTGGTTTTAATAGTATCAAAGACAAACCAAAGTAATGCAGATGCACAAGAACCAAATATAAACAAATCAACATCTTCGACTGCTACATCTACGAATTACACGTATAGAAAATCAAGAAAAGGTAAAATATGTCATATTTAGCAATACACAGTATTACGTTTTTGACCCTTGCAATTAATAAATACTAGTAATAATCAATAAATCAGATTACTGTTTCTCTTTACATATAAAGCTGATACACGCAACAATACACGCAACAGGGGGAAGTTAGCAGAGCTTGAAGAAGAAAATATGAAGTTGGATAACCAGAAGCTTCGGATGCAAATTAACCAACTAAATGAAAACAAAGAAATCCTGACACTCAAAAAGGAAATTTTAATGCTCAAGAAATCAAAACTGGAATTTGGAATCCAAGCTAGCTATCCATTTTTTACCGAAGCACTTTCCGCAAATCAATGTACAGATATTTCTGAGTGTTAAAGACATTTATGAACTTAGATAGAATGTTCTTATCGTAGTTATAAATTTATGAATGACGGAAGGTTTGATACACTCACTTAAATCACATGTTATGAGAATCTATCGAGTTAAGGAAATATTGTATAGGAATACACCTATTTTGTAGATAAATGAATGTGTATTATACGAGTTGAAAGTAAGAAGGATAAAGCTGATCGAGCGTTATATCAATTGAGTTGTATGAAAAGGTAATAAAATTTATGACATCTCTGACCACTAATTTTCATTTCTACCTAGATTCGACAAATGCAAATTAATATTGCCTGTATATTTTCCCGTAAAGACTGCCGGATTGCATGGGTAAATTATGCTTCAATTGTATTCGTGTGATTAAATGAACAGAAATTGTGAATTGAATATAGCAAAATAACTCAAGAGAAAAACAAATCTGCAATTTCATCTCTCTTCCTACAACCATCGTTACTAGGCGGAATTCGATCTACATTCATGGCAATATTGATGCATTCCTGCAAATCATAATCTGCGCAATTACTGCTGATGAAAATATCTGATTTTTCTATCCTTTTGTTGTGTAGTAAGACACAAGCAGTGATATAATCAACAGCTTGTTCAGGTGAACATCTCAGACCGTAATGAAGGCACTGAAACCGCTTCTTTAAAACACCATAGATTTGTTCTATGAGAACACGGGTACGGCACAACGAGCTGTTGAAGTTTTCCTGGGCTCGGTTTGAAGGTACATTATAAGGAGTCATGAGGTAATGAGTGCAGGGGTATCCAGAATCTCCAAGTAAAAGTCCACTGTGTATTCCTAAAAAAAACGTTAAATGTTTTAATCAATACTAATAATTGCCATACATGTCACACATACATGTACTTGCGCAGATCTATCACTGTATCGCCCTAAAAAAATCCTGGATCCGTGTATATATGTCATATAGTAATATGTTTTTGTGACTGTATATAGTTTTATTATTTCTGTTTACTTTATGAAAAAAGAAAGGAATTCATTTTAACAGTACATTTTATAGATGTTCACATTTCTTACTTTTTCTTACCTCTCTCGAATTGATGGCATAGCGCGGATGATCTCCATACCCTACTGTCGTGTGTTGACCCAGGCCATCTTGCACATAGTGATGTAATTCGAAAATTGGGGTCGCATACCATCTGCATGTATTATAATATATATTAAATATTTATATTATATACCTGGTTACTAGCAGTATTTCATACATAACTCAATACCAATTTGAAGCAAAAATATGCGATTTCAAGACTTTTTCAACCTCTAAAAAACTTAATTGTTCATCATTTCAGAAACGGGTGTATTCAAGTTTGTTTCCCTAATATGAAATCTACATGCAATAATACCTGCACATTCAATGAATGGTACCCCTTTCTATTTACATAGTCCACCTCGTTTTCAGATGGCATCGTAATTTTGATAAAAGTGCCGTCCACGCATCTGAGTACTTGGGGGAAACCTAAACAAATAAAACATGAGACTATACACAGGACCATTTTTGAAAAAAAGTGTTCTTAAGATACATGTAGACGAAACCTTTTTTCAGGAAGACTTGAAAACTATTGTGGTGAAAATGGACTAGTTTTATAGACTCCTCTTATTTTCTATTTTTACATTGTTCTTTTTTAGTTATCTCCCGTGACATTACGCGGGCTATACTGTACACAGAATACAAGTACATTTTGTGGCCAGCTCGCGTTTGTTGTTTATTCGCTATATATTGGCGATATTTGTGGTGCCGACAGCTAAAAGCACTACAACTGGTGTCACATAAGTGGGATTCGTCCAGGATTGTTCCACATTAGGACGGATTTTTGTTTATTTTGACGATTACAGATTGTCACAGCGAAGCGCACGTGTTTCATGGCAATGTATGGGGGTGCCGATTGGGAATATCTCGAGGTACTCAGTTACTAAACAGTAAACACTGTCGCGTTCAGGAAAATCTTGTTTCTTAAATTCAATGTTCAACTTCTGTTAATTTTGATTGAATTTATCGCGCAAATTGAATGTTTGTTGATGTAATCTATTTATAGAATTAAAGTTCTAGAGGTACAGGGTGTTTACAAATTATAGAACATACTCGCACCAATTTTTAGGAAAAAAAAGTTTAACAATAAAAGTTTCCGAGTAAATTACAAGTAAATTCATGAATATGTGTTGAAATAAAATAAAATTCATTTATAATTAGGAGAATTAGATAATTATAAGTAACCAAATTAAGGGGGAAAAATTAATTGAATAAAATTACTGTCAACAAATTTGCATGCCCTTGGTGCTCACTGCGATCACTTTGGACATCAAATAATGTTCATTGTTCACTGCGAACAAAGTTTATTGTAGCGGTCAGTAAAGGATTTGGTGCATCTCCTAGAGTCACGACCATTGGTAGTTCCGCAGGAAGAGGCACGAAGCATAGCAGTCTTGGTCTCCGACAGTAAAGGCATTCGATTGGAGCAGATAAAACAGGACACATCCTTGCCACTCGTCTTCCTGTATAAAAAGGGGGCAACGACGAAGGAGCTTGTAGACCTATTGATACAAGAGTTCACCCATCTTACTAAAGGACACAAGCCAGTAACAGTCTACTTTTGGGGTGGAACTTGTGACATAACAGAAAAACGAGGAAAATATATAAACATTCGTGGTCAAGTGACAGATACAGTATCATCTGTAGTAAAAGAGCTACACAGGGCCAAAGATTTTATTCTTGGTAATAACTGCCGCATTAAGTTTATTGGCATACCTATTTATTTAGTTTCCCTGTACAACGATATCAAAGGGCATCTGAATCCAACAGTATTCCTTGACTCGGACAAAGAAGTTGAGATAGAGGTAGATCTCCTCAATACACGTATTGAACAGATAAATCAAAGCCTAGGTCGAAACACACTTAAGTTCAACGCTGACTTGCGGGACTGCAGACGGGGCAAAAAGAGATACTTCTTTGAGTTGCTATCAGACGGTTTGCACCCAGGCCATCTTTTATCCCAGAAGTGGTTACGGCGACTCGAGCTTGACATTATTAGGGAGTGTTACACCCCATGTGATGCACTTGAGGTAGATGAACAAGAGTTCCTCTCATTCCAACATGGCGAACAAGGCCGAAAACACTGATGATGAAATAATAAAGAATACTGACTTTACACAAAGTGACAATGGAGTAGTGACTGACAATAAAAATGAGGAAGACAATTCTTGGCTGCACAAGACACTTGAGTCTTTCAGTTCTTCTTTTGACAGAAAGCAGCAACATAATCAAAAATTATTTGCACAGACTATGCAAGAAATAAAAGAATCTTCTACAAAACAAATCGCTATTCAACAAACCATGTTTCAGAAATTTCTTGAGGAATCGAAGGAGGAAATAAGTCATTCTCTGAGAATACCACCATTTGCTTCAACCCCGAGGCCACACGCGGCTTCGGGATTGATGCATACTGGACAGTATCCGCCGGTTAGTTCACAGATTTCAGATGCTGCACCAACCCCTAGATCACAAGGTCATGCAACTTCTTGGTGGACACCATCGTCTCAGCCACCCTCATTTGCTGGTTATGCACCTGACTTCCCCTCAGACCGAAGAGGAACAGACCGACCATTTGATGAAACCTTGCGTGTCATTGAGGCTAGGGAAGGACAACGACCCTCTCCTTATCAACCTAGCTCCCGAGGTGGATCTAGATCCTCAGAGAACAACCAAGCTGCACCAAGAGGTCCACAGACTAATCTCCCGACTTATGAAGGCTAGAAAGAAATTGAAGTTTTCCTTGTTCCATTTAAAAGACTAGCCGAGCGGTATAACTGGACGGAAACCAAGAAAATAGACCGCCTCTATGAAGGTCTGAAGGGTAAGGCAATGTGGTATGTTTGCTCCTTGCCTAAAGCAATGGCAGCCAACTACATCTCAATACGTGATAGCCTAACTAAACGCTTCGGGCGGAAGGACCCTCCAGCCACTGTTCGCAGGAAACTGGCAGAGATCCGACAAAAGGGAGAGTCAAATGATGAGTTTGGTGAAGAAGTCCGTCGCTTAATTACCCAAGCTTATCCTGGTACTGACTTGGAAATGCAAGATCAACTTGCTGCAGAATCTTTCTTAAGAGGATACCGTAATTCCCGGATTGCATATGATGTGCTAAACAGAAACCCTAAGACACTAAATAAAGCGATAGAGCTTGTCACTTATCAAGAGCATAATTACAGAGCCACTGTTGGATGAGATAATGACTATCAGAGGCGAGAAAGGACTAGGAGGGTAACCTGGACAGATGATTCTGATAATGACGGTCCTCCTGATGATGAGGCAGAAATTCCTAGAGTGCAGCGGATTCAAAAACCCACATATATTACCATGGAGCAGCTGGACCACCGTCTTAAGCAAATAGAGACGCAACTTAAACGGAACCAGGAGAAAGAGAGAATGAAACGAGGCCACCTATTTAAGGATATAAAAAGTAGATGTTTTCAATGTGGGCTGGGCACTTCAAAAGTGACTGCAAATCTCGACCCCAAACAGTCAAATTGCAGGAACAGAAAATGCCAACAGTAAAGGAAGAGACATCCAAGACAGCAGAACAAATCAAGTGCACAAGGCTTTATGGAGCTGGGAAAGGAATCGTAGTCCCTGTCTTTGTGAATGATGTCCAGACCAAAGGTGTAGTTGATACTGGTGCGGATGCTACTATTGTCTCTTCATCCATTGCCCAAGAGGCAGGGATTATTACGAGTAACTGCAAGCAAGTTCGACTCATGAATGCGGAAGATGGTGCAGAGATGACTGCATTTGGAGGTGTCACTGCGACAATCCAAATTGGCAGCCAATCAACCCACTGGCCAGTATATGTTGCACCAATACGGGATTCTGTTGTGATTGGAATGGATATTCTTAACTCCCTAGAAGCTGTTATATTCACAGGTCAAGGTAACCTTCGCATTGGAAAAGAAATATCTGGAACCCTGAGCTGCGATAACAGTTACCCAGCTTGCAGCTCTGTAATGGTTGATGAAAGCTGTTGGATACCTCCTCAGAGTGAGAAGATTATTGTTGGAAGAGTCCAAGTTCCTACAAGTGGTCTATTGTCTGTTTTAGACAGTTGCAATGATGATCTTCCTAATGGTGTTATGGTTGGATCTAGCTTAGTTAATATGAAGGACAAAGTACCTGTTCGGATTCTAAATGTCAGAGATAAGAAAATTCGCCTTGCTAAGGGAACCCATTTGGGGAAGTTGGCAGAAGTCTGTGAGGATGCTGATGCAGTTATTGAAGATGCAGCACATCAAAGTGAAGTCACTGTTGAAGAAATGATAGGCAGACAAGCTGAAAATGGAACCGTACCAACCCACCTAGTAGAGCTGGCAGAGAAATCATCCAAGAATATGACTAAATCGGAACAACAGGCACTTTTCAGCTTTCTCTCTGAATTTGAGGATATTTTTTTTAGAGAGGACTATGATCTTGGCACTTTTACTGCAATTAAGCACCAAATCAACACAGATGGAACAAAACCTATCAGACAACCTGCGAGGCGAACACCTCTAAGTTTCCAGAGTGAAGAAGCTGAATATTTGAAAAAACAGTTGGAAAATGGTATGGTAGTTCCCTCAAGCTCTGCATGGGCATCTCCTGTAGAGTTAGTCCGCAAAAAGGATGGTGGAGTACGCTGGTGCGTGAACTATCGGAAGCTAAACGAAGTCACACAGAAAGATGCATATCCCCTACCTAAGATTGAGGAGTGTCTGGACACTTTAGGGGGTTCCAAACTGTTCTCCACACTTGACCTTATGAGCGGGTATCACCAGTTTGAGGTTCTTGAAAGTGACAGACCCAAGACTGCATTTATTACCAGGCATGGCTTGTTTGAATTCACACGAATGCCTTTTGGGCTCTGCAATGCGCCCTCTACCTTCCAACGAGGAATGGAATTGATTTTAAGAGGACTTCAATGGATCATCCTTCTTATCTACCTAGATGATGTAATCATCACGGGGAATACATTTCATGAGCACCTAAGTAATCTTAGAAAGGTGTTCCTCCGATTTCGAGAATTTGGACTAAAGTTGAAGCCTAAAAAATGCAGCTTAATCCAAGAGGAGGTTATATTTCTGGGTCACGTTGTAAGTAAAGATGGGGTTCGAGCAAGTCCTTCGCTGATTCAAGATGTGCAGAGATGGCCAATTCCAGGAAGTCTTAAGGAGCTCCAAGCCTTTTTAGGGTTGACGAACTACTATCGTCGATTTGTGAAAGGGTATGCTGATATAGCTCGTCAGCCTCACACGCAAAGGTGTACCGTACCAATGGGGTAAAGAACAGGTGACAGCGTTTAAGGAGCTAAAAATTGCACTTACTTCAGCTCCAGTCCTTGCTTACCCACTTGCTGAGGGAACAATGATTCTAGACACAGATGCTTCGAATTTCAGCATTGGAGCGGTCCTCTCTCAGGAACAGGATGGTGTTGAAAAGGTGATTTCTTTCTCCAGCAGACGCCTAGGACCTGTACAGGAGCGGTACTGCGTCACTCGACGAGAATTATTGGCATTGATTGCCTTTTGTCACCAGTATAAGCATTATCTGTTGGGCAGAAAATTCCTCCTCAGGTCTGACCACAGCAGTTTGGCATGGCTATTCCGCTTCAAATCACCTCAAGGTCAACTGGCTCGGTGGCTCGAGGAATTGAGTCAATATTCTTTTGTCATTCAGCACCGAGCAGGAAAATCTCACGGCAATACAGACGCCTTATCTCGGCTAGATACGACAACTTGTGATTGTTACAGTGCTGGGACTTGCTGTAAGTCGTTACCTTGTGGTGGGTGTGCATACTGCCAGAGAGTTGGAGAGCAGTGGGAGAGATTTACAGAGGACGTTGATTATATTGTACAGTTGACTGTTCGTAAAGTAACACCCTCTGAACCTGCTACCTGTAACTGGTTGGAAAAGGAGGATTTAAAAACTGCACAATCTGAGGACAAAGAAGCGCAACTAGTATCCAACTGGTTGTTACATGACAAACCAGAGTCCAGTGATGTAAGAATCCTCGGTCCCGCAGCTAGGAGTTGGATGCTCACTCCTCCATGGCACCTGATCCCACCTCTGATGTTTCGGAGGTCCGTGTTTGCTCTGCTCTTATTTTGTATATTTGTTTAATGGACGTTGAGATTGAATACTGTTCGTTATTTCCATATCCTCAATCTTCAACAGTTTCATCTGGTCAATGGGATACTCCACTATGAATGGTTGCATGATTCAGGCACACGGTCACTGCGACTGTTTGTGCCAAAATCACTCAGGAGGAAAGTAATAGAGAGTTGTCATGATCCACCATACTCTGGACACCAAGGTGAAAGAAGAACTCTCGACAGGGTAAAACGCAGCTTCTGTTGGTATGGTCTGTCAGCAGATGTCCTGCACTATGTATCAAGTTGTGCCACATGTGGTATGGAAAAGAGAGCTTCTCGTAAAAGCAAAGCAGCAATGCAGTCCTTCATTTATGGTGCTCCACTAGACCGTTTGCATATTGATGTACTTGGCCCATTCCCTGCAAGTTCAAGTGGTAATAAGTACATTCTGGTAATAACTGACCAGTTCACCAAATGGGTGGAGGCGTATGCTGTCCCTGATCAGTGCAGTGGGACAACAGCAAAAAAGCTTGTGGAGGAATTCATAGCCCCTCTTGAGATCCATACAGACCAGGGCAGAAACTTCCAAAGTGACCTCTTCAGGACTGTGTGCGAATTGCTAGGAGTTGCTCACACAAGGACCACACCGTATCATCCTTCCTCTAGCGGTCAGGTTGAACGCTTCAATAGGACTGTTTTGCAAATGATCCGGTGTTATGTCGACAAAGAGCAGAATACTTGGGATGAACAGTTGCCTCTCTTACTTTCTGCATACCGAAGCACTCCACACAAAGCCACAGGAATATCCCCAAACTTTATGATGTTGGGTAGGGAGGTACACCAATCTGCAGAACTAGTTTTTAAGGACTCAGAGACAATCCGAGACCCACTGGATACCCCAACATAC